TAAGAAAAATTGAATTTTTTTGAAAAATTTTGTTTTTCGAAAATCGCTTAAATGGTCATAAAATTGGTGTTCCTCTACTCGGATCGGGCTGTCAATTTTTTTCTACACTTTTAGGTGTATTTTGTGCAAGAAAATGCAATAAAATAGTGTGCCTAAGAAAAATTGAATTTTTTTGAAAAATTTTGTATTTCGAAAATCGCTTAAATGGTCATAAAATTGGTGTTCCTCTACTCGGATCGGGCTGTCAATTTTTTTCTACACTTTTAGGTGTATTTTGTGCAAGAAAATGCAATAAAATAGTGTGCCTAAGAAAAATTGAATTTTTTTGAAAAATTTTGTTTTTCGAAAATCGCTTAAATGGTCATAAAATTGGTGTTCCTCTACTCGGATCGGGCTGTCAATTTTTTTCTACACTTTTAGGTGTATTTTGTGCAAGAAAATGCAATAAAATAGTGTGCCTAAGAAAAATTGAATTGTTTTGAAAATTTTTTTTTGACGAAAATCGCTTAAATGGTCATAAAATTGGTGTTCCTCTACTCGGATCGGGCTGTCAATTTTTTTCTACACTTTTAGGTGTATTTTGTGCAAGAAAATGCAATAAAATAGTGTGCCTAAGAAAAATTGAATTGTTTTGAAAATTTTTTTTTGACGAAAATCGCTTAAATGGTCATAAAATTGGTGTTCCTCTACTCGGATCGGGCTGTCAATTTTTTTCTACACTTTTAGGTGTATTTTGTGCAAGAAAATGCAATAAAATAGTGTGCCTAAGAAAAATTGAATTGTTTTGAAAATTTTTTTTTGACGAAAATCGCTTAAATGGTCATAAAATTGGTGTTCCTCTACTCGGATCGGGCTGTCAATTTTTTTCTACACTTTTAGGTGTATTTTGTGCAAGAAAATGCAATAAAATAGTGTGCCTAAGAAAAATTGAATTTTTTTGAAAAATTTTGTTTGATGAAAATCGCTTAAATGGTCATAAAATTGGTGTTCCTCTACTCGGATCGGGCTGTCAATTTTTTTCTACACTTTTAGGTGTATTTTGTGCAAGAAAATGCAATAAAATAGTGTGCCTAAGAAAAATTGAATTTTTTTGAAAAATTTTGTTTTTCGAAAATCGCTTAAATGGTCATAAAATTGGTGTTCCTCTACTCGGATCGGGCTGTCAATTTTTTTCTACACTTTTAGGTGTATTTTGTGCAAGAAAATGCAATAAAATAGTGTGCCTAAGAAAAATTGAATTTTTTTGAAAAATTTTGTTTTTCGAAAATCGCTTAAATGGTCATAAAATTGGTGTTCCTCTACTCGGATCGGGCTGTCAATTTTTTTCTACACTTTTAGGTGTATTTTGTGCAAGAAAATGCAATAAAATAGTGTGCCTAAGAAAAATTGAATTGTTTTGAAAATTTTTTTTTGACGAAAATCGCTTAAATGGTCATAAAATTGGTGTTCCTCTACTCGGATCGGGCTGTCAATTTTTTTCTACACTTTTAGGTGTATTTTGTGCAAGAAAATGCAATAAAATAGTGTGCCTAAGAAAAATTGAATTGTTTTGAAAATTTTTTTTTGACGAAAATCGCTTAAATGGTCATAAAATTGGTGTTCCTCTACTCGGATCGGGCTGTCAATTTTTTTCTACACTTTTAGGTGTATTTTGTGCAAGAAAATGCAATAAAATAGTGTGCCTAAGAAAAATTGAATTTTTTTGAAAAATTTTGTTTTTCGAAAATCGCTTAAATGGTCATAAAATTGGTGTTCCTCTACTCGGATCGGGCTGTCAATTTTTTTCTACACTTTTAGGTGTATTTTGTGCAAGAAAATGCAATAAAATAGTGTGCCTAAGAAAAATTGAATTTTTTTGAAAAATTTTGTATTTCGAAAATCGCTTAAATGGTCATAAAATTGGTGTTCCTCTACTCGGATCGGGCTGTCAATTTTTTTCTACACTTTTAGGTGTATTTTGTGCAAGAAAATGCAATAAAATAGTGTGCCTAAGAAAAATTGAATTTTTTTGAAAAATTTTGTTTTTCGAAAATCGCTTAAATGGTCATAAAATTGGTGTTCCTCTACTCGGATCGGGCTGTCAATTTTTTTCTACACTTTTAGGTGTATTTTGTGCAAGAAAATGCAATAAAATAGTGTGCCTAAGAAAAATTGAATTGTTTTGAAAATTTTTTTTTGACGAAAATCGCTTAAATGGTCATAAAATTGGTGTTCCTCTACTCGGATCGGGCTGTCAATTTTTTTCTACACTTTTAGGTGTATTTTGTGCAAGAAAATGCAATAAAATAGTGTGCCTAAGAAAAATTGAATTTTTTTGAAAAATTTTGTTTTTCGAAAATCGCTTAAATGGTCATAAAATTGGTGTTCCTCTACTCGGATCGGGCTGTCAATTTTTTTCTACACTTTTAGGTGTATTTTGTGCAAGAAAATGCAATAAAATAGTGTGCCTAAGAAAAATTGAATTTTTTTGAAAAATTTTGTTTTTCGAAAATCGCTTAAATGGTCATAAAATTGGTGTTCCTCTACTCGGATCGGGCTGTCAATTTTTTTCTACACTTTTAGGTGTATTTTGTGCAAGAAAATGCAATAAAATAGTGTGCCTAAGAAAAATTGAATTTTTTTGAAAAATTTTGTTTTTCGAAAATCGCTTAAATGGTCATAAAATTGGTGTTCCTCTACTCGGATCGGGCTGTCAATTTTTTTCTACACTTTTAGGTGTATTTTGTGCAAGAAAATGCAATAAAATAGTGTGCCTAAGAAAAATTGAATTGTTTTGAAAATTTTTTTTTGACGAAAATCGCTTAAATGGTCATAAAATTGGTGTTCCTCTACTCGGATCGGGCTGTCAATTTTTTTCTACACTTTTAGGTGTATTTTGTGCAAGAAAATGCAATAAAATAGTGTGCCTAAGAAAAATTGAATTGTTTTGAAAATTTTTTTTTGACGAAAATCGCTTAAATGGTCATAAAATTGGTGTTCCTCTACTCGGATCGGGCTGTCAATTTTTTTCTACACTTTTAGGTGTATTTTGTGCAAGAAAATGCAATAAAATAGTGTGCCTAAGAAAAATTGAATTGTTTTGAAAATTTTTTTTTGACGAAAATCGCTTAAATGGTCATAAAATTGGTGTTCCTCTACTCGGATCGGGCTGTCAATTTTTTTCTACACTTTTAGGTGTATTTTGTGCAAGAAAATGCAATAAAATAGTGTGCCTAAGAAAAATTGAATTTTTTTGAAAAATTTTGTTTGATCGAAAATCGCTTAAATGGTCATAAAATTGGTGTTCCTCTACTCGGATCGGGCTGTCAATTTTTTTCTACACTTTTAGGTGTATTTTGTGCAAGAAAATGCAATAAAATAGTGTGCCTAAGAAAAATTGAATTTTTTTGAAAAATTTTGTTTTTCGAAAATCGCTTAAATGGTCATAAAATTGGTGTTCCTCTACTCGGATCGGGCTGTCAATTTTTTTCTACACTTTTAGGTGTATTTTGTGCAAGAAAATGCAATAAAATAGTGTGCCTAAGAAAAATTGAATTTTTTTGAAAAATTTTGTTTTTCGAAAATCGCTTAAATGGTCATAAAATTGGTGTTCCTCTACTCGGATCGGGCTGTCAATTTTTTTCTACACTTTTAGGTGTATTTTGTGCAAGAAAATGCAATAAAATAGTGTGCCTAAGAAAAATTGAATTGTTTTGAAAATTTTTTTTTGACGAAAATCGCTTAAATGGTCATAAAATTGGTGTTCCTCTACTCGGATCGGGCTGTCAATTTTTTTCTACACTTTTAGGTGTATTTTGTGCAAGAAAATGCAATAAAATAGTGTGCCTAAGAAAAATTGAATTGTTTTGAAAATTTTTTTTTGACGAAAATCGCTTAAATGGTCATAAAATTGGTGTTCCTCTACTCGGATCGGGCTGTCAATTTTTTTCTACACTTTTAGGTGTATTTTGTGCAAGAAAATGCAATAAAATAGTGTGCCTAAGAAAAATTGAATTTTTTTGAAAAATTTTGTTTTTCGAAAATCGCTTAAATGGTCATAAAATTGGTGTTCCTCTACTCGGATCGGGCTGTCAATTTTTTCTACACTTTTAGGTGTATTTTGTGCAAGAAAATGCAATAAAATAGTGTGCCTAAGAAAAATTGAATTTTTTTGAAAAATTTTGTTTGATGAAAATCGCTTAAATGGTCATAAAATTGGTGTTCCTCTACTCGGATCGGGCTGTCAATTTTTTTCTACACTTTTAGGTGTATTTTGTGCAAGAAAATGCAATAAAATAGTGTGCCTAAGAAAAATTGAATTTTTTTGAAAAATTTTGTTTTTCGAAAATCGCTTAAATGGTCATAAAATTGGTGTTCCTCTACTCGGATCGGGCTGTCAATTTTTTTCTACACTTTTAGGTGTATTTTGTGCAAGAAATTGCAATAAAATAGTGTGCCTAAGAAAAATTGAATTTTTTTGAAACTTTTTTTTTTTTGGATTAATCGGTTGGATGACTTTTTGGTGGTAATAGGTGTCTTCCTCTACTCGGATCTGGCTGTCAATTTTTTTCTACACTTTTAGGTGTATTTTGTGCAAGAAATTGCAATAAAATAGTGTGCCTAAAAAAAATTGAATTTTTTTGGAACTTTTTTTTTTTTGGATTTATGGGTTGGATGACTTTTTGGTGGTAATAGGTGTCTTCCTCTACTCGGATCTGGCTGTCAATTTTTTTCTACACTTTTAGGTGTATTTTGTGCAAGAAAATGCAATAAAATAGTGTGCCTAAGAAAAATTGAATTTTTTTGGAACTTTTTTTTTTTTGGATTTATGGGTTGGATGACTTTATGGTGGTAATAGGTGTCTTCCTCTACTCGGATCTGGCTGTCAATTTTTTTCTACACTTTTAGGTGTATTTTGTGCAAGAAATTGCAATAAAATAGTGTGCCTAAGAAAAATTGAATTTTTTTGAAACTTTTTTATTTTTTTGGAATTATGGCTTGGATGACTTTTTGGTGGTAATAGGTGTCTTCCTCTACTCGGATCTGGCTGTCGATTTTTTTCTACACTTTTAGGTGTATTTTGTGCAAGAAAATGCAATAAAATAGTGTGCCTAAGAAAAATTGAATTTTTTTGGAAACTTTTTTTTTTTTGGATTTATGGGTTGGATGACTTTTTGGTGGTAATAGGTGTCTTCCTCTACTCGTATTTGGCTGTCAATTTTTTTCTACACTTTTAGGTGTATTTTGTGCAAGAAAATGCAATAAAATAGTGTGCCTAAGAAAAATTGAATTGTTTTGAAAATTTTTTTTTGACGAAAATCGCTTAAATGGTCATAAAATTGGTGTTCCTCTACTCGGATCGGGCTGTCAATTTTTTTCTACACTTTTAGGTGTATTTTGTGCAAGAAAATGCAATAAAATAGTGTGCCTAAGAAAAATTGAATTGTTTTGAAAATTTTGTTTTTCGAAAATCGCTTAAATGGTCATAAAATTGGTGTTCCTCTACTCGGATCGGGCTGTCAATTTTTTTCTACACTTTTAGGTGTATTTTGTGCAAGAAAATGCAATAAAATAGTGTGCCTAAGAAAAATTGAATTTTTTTGAAAAATTTTGTTTTTCGAAAATCGCTTAAATGGTCATAAAATTGGTGTTCCTCTACTCGGATCGGGCTGTCAATTTTTTTCTACACTTTTAGGTGTATTTTGTGCAAGAAAATGCAATAAAATAGTGTGCCTAAGAAAAATTGAATTGTTTTGAAAATTTTTTTTTGACGAAAATCGCTTAAATGGTCATAAAATTGGTGTTCCTCTACTCGGATCGGGCTGTCAATTTTTTTCTACACTTTTAGGTGTATTTTGTGCAAGAAAATGCAATAAAATAGTGTGCCTAAGAAAAATTGAATTTTTTTGAAAAATTTTGTTTGATGAAAATCGCTTAAATGGTCATAAAATTGGTGTTCCTCTACTCGGATCGGGCTGTCAATTTTTTTCTACACTTTTAGGTGTATTTTGTGCAAGAAAATGCAATAAAATAGTGTGCCTAAGAAAAATTGAATTTTTTTGAAAAATTTTGTTTTTCGAAAATCGCTTAAATGGTCATAAAATTGGTGTTCCTCTACTCGGATCGGGCTGTCAATTTTTTTCTACACTTTTAGGTGTATTTTGTGCAAGAAAATGCAATAAAATAGTGTGCCTAAGAAAAATTGAATTTTTTTGAAAAATTTTGTTTTTCGAAAATCGCTTAAATGGTCATAAAATTGGTGTTCCTCTACTCGGATCGGGCTGTCAATTTTTTTCTACACTTTTAGGTGTATTTTGTGCAAGAAAATGCAATAAAATAGTGTGCCTAAGAAAAATTGAATTGTTTTGAAAAATTTTTTTTGACGAAAATCGCTTAAATGGTCATAAAATTGGTGTTCCTCTACTCGGATCGGGCTGTCAATTTTTTTCTACACTTTTAGGTGTATTTTGTGCAAGAAAATGCAATAAAATAGTGTGCCTAAGAAAAATTGAATTTTTTTGAAAAATTTTGTTTTTCGAAAATCGCTTAAATGGTCATAAAATTGGTGTTCCTCTACTCGGATCGGGCTGTTAATTTTTTTCTACACTTTTAGGTGTATTTTGTGCAAGAAAATGCAATAAAATAGTGTGCCTAAGAAAAATTGAATTGTTTTGAAAATTTTTTTTTGACGAAAATCGCTTAAATGGTCATAAAATTGGTGTTCCTCTACTCGGATCGGGCTGTCAATTTTTTTCTACACTTTTAGGTGTATTTTGTGCAAGAAAATGCAATAAAATAGTGTGCCTAAGAAAAATTGAATTTTTTTGAAAAATTTTTTTTGACGAAAATCGCTTAAATGGTCATAAAATTGGTGTTCCTCTACTCGGATCGGGCTGTCAATTTTTTTCTACACTTTTAGGTGTATTTTGTGCAAGAAAATGCAATAAAATAGTGTGCCTAAGAAAAATTGAATTGTTTTGAAAATTTTTTTTTGACGAAAATCGCTTAAATGGTCATAAAATTGGTGTTCCTCTACTCGGATCGGGCTGTCAATTTTTTTCTACACTTTTAGGTGTATTTTGTGCAAGAAAATGCAATAAAATAGTGTGCCTAAGAAAAATTGAATTTTTTTGAAAAATTTTGTTTGATGAAAATCGCTTAAATGGTCATAAAATTGGTGTTCCTCTACTCGGATCGGGCTGTCAATTTTTTTCTACACTTTTAGGTGTATTTTGTGCAAGAAAATGCAATAAAATAGTGTGCCTAAGAAAAATTGAATTTTTTTGAAAAATTTTGTTTTTCGAAAATCGCTTAAATGGTCATAAAATTGGTGTTCCTCTACTCGGATCGGGCTGTCAATTTTTTTCTACACTTTTAGGTGTATTTTGTGCAAGAAAATGCAATAAAATAGTGTGCCTAAGAAAAATTGAATTTTTTTGAAAAATTTTGTTTTTCGAAAATCGCTTAAATGGTCATAAAATTGGTGTTCCTCTACTCGGATCGGGCTGTCAATTTTTTTCTACACTTTTAGGTGTATTTTGTGCAAGAAAATGCAATAAAATAGTGTGCCTAAGAAAAATTGAATTTTTTTGAAAAATTTTGTTTTTCGAAAATCGCTTAAATGGTCATAAAATTGGTGTTCCTCTACTCGGATCGGGCTGTCAATTTTTTTCTACACTTTTAGGTGTATTTTGTGCAAGAAAATGAAATAAAATAGTGTGCCTAAGAAAAATTGAATTGTTTTGACAATTTTTTTTTGACGAAAATCGCTTAAATGGTCATAAAATTGGTGTTCCTCTACTCGGATCGGGCTGTCAATTTTTTTCTACACTTTTAGGTGTATTTTGTGCAAGAAAATGCAATAAAATAGTGTGCCTAAGAAAAATTGAATTGTTTTGACAATTTTTTTTTGATGAAAATCGCTTAAATGGTCATAAAATTGGTGTTCCTCTACTCGGATCGGGCTGTCAATTTTTTTCTACACTTTTAGGTGTATTTTGTGCAAGAAAATGCAATAAAATAGTGTGCCTAAGAAAAATTGAATTTTTTTGAAAAATTTTGTTTTTCGAAAATCGCTTAAATGGTCATAAAATTGGTGTTCCTCTACTCGGATCGGGCTGTCAATTTTTTCTACACTTTTAGGTGTATTTTGTGCAAGAAAATGCAATAAAATAGTGTGCGTAAGAAAAATTGAATTTTTTTGAAAAATTTTGTTTGATGAAAATCGCTTAAATGGTCATAAAATTGGTGTTCCTCTACTCGGATCGGGCTGTCAATTTTTTTCTACACTTTTAGGTGTATTTTGTGCAAGAAAATGCAATAAAATAGTGTGCCTAAGAAAAATTGAATTTTTTTGAAAAATTTTGTTTTTCGAAAATCGCTTAAATGGTCATAAAATTGGTGTTCCTCTATTCGGATCGGGCTGTCAATTTTTTTCTACACTTTTAGGTGTATTTTGTGCAAGAAATTGCAATAAAATAGTCCGCCTAAGAAAAATTGAATTTTTTTGGGAACTTTTTTATTTTTTTGGATTTATGGGTTGGATGACTTTTTGGTGGTAATAGGTGTCTTCCTCTACTCGGATTTGGCTGTCGATTTTTTTCTACACTTTTAGGTGTATTTTGTGCAAGAAATTGCAATAAAATAGTCCGCCTAAAAAAAATTGAATTTTTTTGGGAACTTTTTTATTTTTTTGGATTTATGGGTTGGATGACTTTTTGGTGGTAATAGGTGTCTTCCTCTACTCGGATTTGGCTGTAGATTTTTTTCTACACTTTTAGGTGTATTTTGTGCAAGAAATTGCAATAAAATAGTCCGCCTAAGAAAAATTGAATTTTTTTGGGAACTTTTTTATTTTTTTGGATTTATGGGTTGGATGACTTTATGGTGGTAATAGGTGTCTTCCTCTACTCGGATTTGGCTGTCGATTTTTTTCTACACTTTTAGGTGTATTTTGTGCAAGAAATTGCAATAAAATAGTCCGCCTAAGAAAAATTGAATTTTTTTGGGAACTTTTTTATTTTTTTGGATTTATGGGTTGGATGACTTTTTGGTGGTAATAGGTGTCTTCCTCTACTCGGATTTGGCTGTCGATTTTTTTCTACACTTTTAGGTGTATTTTGTGCAAGAAATTGCAATAAAATAGTCCGCCTAAGAAAAATTGAATTTTTTTGGGAACTTTTTTATTTTTTTGGATTTATGGGTTGGATGACTTTTTGGTGGTAATAGGTGTCTTCCTCTACTCGGATTTGGCTGTCGATTTTTTTCTACACATTTAGGTGTATTTTGTGCAAGAAAATGCAATAAAATAGTGTGCCTAAGAAAAATTGAATTGTTTTGAAAATTTTTTTTTGACGAAAATCGCTTAAATGGTCATAAAATTGCTAATCCTCTACTCGGATCGGGCTGTCAATTTTTTTCTACACTTTTAGGTGTATTTTGTGCAAGAAAATGCAATAAAATAGTGTGCCTAAGAAAAATTGAATTGTTTTGAAAATTTTGTTTTTCGAAAATCGCTTAAATGGTCATAAAATTGGTGTTCCTCTACTCGGATCGGGCTGTCAATTTTTTTCTACACTTTTAGGTGTATTTTGTGCAAGAAAATGCAATAAAATAGTATGCCTAAGAAAAATTGAATTTTTTTGAAAAATTTTGTTTTTCGAAAATCGCTTAAATGGTCATAAAATTGGTGTTCCTCTACTCGGATCGGGCTGTCAATTTTTTTCTACACTTTTAGGTGTATTTTGTGCAAGAAAATGCAATAAAATAGTGTGCCTAAGAAAAATTGAATTGTTTTGAAAATTTTTTTTTGACGAAAGTCGCTTAAATGGTCATAAAATTGGTGTTCCTCTACTCGGATCGGGCTGTCAATTTTTTTCTACACTTTTAGGTGTATTTTGTGCAAGAAAATGCAATAAAATAGTGTGCCTAAGAAAAATTGAATTTTTTTGAAAAATTTTGTTTGATGAAAATCGCTTAAATGGTCATAAAATTGGTGTTCCTCTACTCGGATCGGGCTGTCAATTTTTTTCTACACTTTTAGGTGTATTTTGTGCAAGAAAATGCAATAAAATAGTGTGCCTAAGAAAAATTGAATTTTTTTGAAAAATTTTGTTTTTCGAAAATCGCTTAAATGGTCATAAAATTGGTGTTCCTCTACTCGGATCGGGCTGTCAATTTTTTTCTACACTTTTAGGTGTATTTTGTGCAAGAAAATGCAATAAAATAGTGTGCCTAAGAAAAATTGAATTTTTTTGAAAAATTTTGTTTTTCGAAAATCGCTTAAATGGTCATAAAATTGGTGTTCCTCTACTCGTATCGGGCTGTCAATTTTTTTCTACACTTTTAGGTGCATTTTGTGCAAGAAAATGCAATAAAATAGAGTGCCTAAGAAAAATTGAATTGTTTTGAAAAATTTTTTTTGACGAAAATCGCTTAAATGGTCATAAAATTGGTGTTCCTCTACTCGGATCGGGCTGTCAATTTTTTTCTACACTTTTAGGTGTATTTTGTGCAAGAAAATGCAATAAAATAGTATGCCTAAGAAAAATTGAATTTTTTTGAAAAATTTTGTTTTTCGAAAATCGCTTAAATGGTCATAAAATTGGTGTTCCTCTACTCGGATCGGGCTGTTAATTTTTTTCTACACTTTTAGGTGTATTTTGTGCAAGAAAATGCAATAAAATAGTGTGCCTAAGAAAAATTGAATTGTTTTGAAAATTTTTTTTTGACGAAAATCGCTTAAATGGTCATAAAATTGGTGTTCCTCTACTCGGATCGGGCTGTCAATTTTTTTCTACACTTTTAGGTGTATTTTGTGCAAGAAAATGCAATAAAATAGTGTGCCTAAGAAAAAATGAATTTTTTTGAAAAATTTTGTTTTTCGAAAATCGCTTAAATGGTCATAAAATTGGTGTTCCTCTACTCGGATCGGGCTGTCAATTTTTTTCTACACTTTTAGGTGTATTTTGTGCAAGAAAATGCAATAAAATAGTGTGCCTAAGAAAAATTGAATTGTTTTGAAAATTTTTTTTTGACGAAAATCGCTTAAATGGTCATAAAATTGGTAATCCTCTACTCGGATCGGGCTGTCAATTTTGTTCTACACTTTTAGGTGTATTTTGTGCAAGAAAATGCAATAAAATAGTGTGCCTAAGAAAAATTGAATTGTTTTGAAAATTTTTTTTTGACGAAAATCGCTTAAATGGTCATAAAATTGGTGTTCCTCTACTCGGATCGGGCTGTCAATTTTTTTCTACACTTTTAGGTGTATTTTGTGCAAGAAAATGCAATAAAATAGTATGCCTAAGAAAAATTGAATTTTTTTGAAAAATTTTGTTTTTCGAAAATCGCTTAAATGGTCATAAAATTGGTGTTCCTCTACTCGGATCGGGCTGTCAATTTTTTTCTACACTTTTAGGTGTATTTTGTGCAAGAAAATGCAATAAAATAGTGTGCCTAAGAAAAATTGAATTTTTTTGAAAAATTTTGTATTTCGAAAATCGCTTAAATGGTCATAAAATTGGTGTTCCTCTACTCGGATCGGGCTGTCAATTTTTTTCTACACTTTTAGGTGTATTTTGTGCAAGAAAATGCAATAAAATAGTGTGCCTAAGAAAAATTGAATTTTTTTGAAAAATTTTGTTTTTCGAAAATCGCTTAAATGGTCATAAAATTGGTGTTCCTCTACTCGGATCGGGCTGTCAATTTTTTTCTACACTTTTAGGTGTATTTTGTGCAAGAAAATGCAATAAAATAGTGTGCCTAAGAAAAATTGAATTTTTTTGAAAAATTTTGTTTTTCGAAAATCGCTTAAATGGTCATAAAATTGGTGTTCCTCTACTCGTATCGGGCTGTCAATTTTTTTCTACACTTTTAGGTGTATTTTGTGCAAGAAAATGCAATAAAATAGTGTGCCTAAGAAAAATTGAATTGTTTTGAAAATTTTTTTTGACGAAAATCGCTTAAATGGTCATAAAATTGGTGTTCCTCTACTCGGATCGGGCTGTCAATTTTTTTCTACACTTTTAGGTGTATTTTGTGCAAGAAAATGCAATAAAATAGAGTGCCTAAGAAAAATTGAATTGTTTTGAAAAATTTTTTTTGACGAAAATCGCTTAAATGGTCATAAAATTGGTGTTCCTCTACTCGGATCGGGCTGTCAATTTTTTTCTACACTTTTAGGTGTATTTTGTGCAAGAAAATGCAATAAAATAGTGTGCCTAAGAAAAATTGAATTTTTTTGAAAAATTTTGTTTTTCGAAAATCGCTTAAATGGTCATAAAATTGGTGTTCCTCTATTCGGATCGGGCTGTTAATTTTTTTCTACACTTTTAGGTGTATTTTGTGCAAGAAATTGCAATAAAATAGTCCGCCTAAGAAAAATTGAATTTTTTTGGGAACTTTTTTATTTTTTTGGATTTATGGGTTGGATGACTTTTTGGTGGTAATAGGTGTCTTCCTCTACTCGGATTTGGCTGTCGATTTTTTTCTACACTTTTAGGTGTATTTTGTGCAAGAAATTGCAATAAAATAGTCCGCCTAAGAAAAATTGAATTTTTTTGGGAACTTTTTTATTTTTTTGGATTTATGGGTTGGATGACTTTTTGGTGGTAATAGGTGTCTTCCTCTACTCGGATTTGGCTGTCGATTTTTTTCTACACTTTTAGGTGTATTTTGTGCAAGAAATTTTGCAATAAAATAGTCCGCCTAAGAAAAATTGAATTTTTTTGGGAACTTTTTTATTTTTTTGGATTTATGGGTTGGATGACTTTATGGTGGTAATAGGTGTCTTCCTCTACTCGGATTTGGCTGTCGATTTTTTTCTACACTTTTAGGTGTATTTTGTGCAAGAAATTGCAATAAAATAGTCCGCCTAAGAAAAATTGAATTTTTTTGGGAACTTTTTTATTTTTTTGGATTTATGGGTTGGATGACTTTTTGGTGGTAATAGGTGTCTTCCTCTACTCGGATTTGGCTGTCGATTTTTTTCTATACTTTTAGGTGTATTTTATGAAAGAAAATGCAATAAAATAGTCTGCCTAAGACAAATTAAATTTTTTTGAAAAATTTTTTTTTACGAAAATCGCTTTAATGGTCATAAAATTGGTTTGCCTCTACTCGGACCGGGCTGTCAATTTTTTTCTACACTTTTAGGTGTATTTTGTGCAAGAAAATGCAATAAAATAGTCTGCCTAAGAAGAATTGAATTTTCTTGAAAATTTTTTTTTTACGAAAATCGCTTTAATGGTCATAAAATTGGTGTTCCTCTACTCGGATCGGGCTGTCAATTTTTTTTTACACTTTTAGGTGTATTTTGTGCATGAACATGCAATAAAAAAGTCTGCCTAAGAAAAATTAAATTTTTTTTTTACGAAAATCGCTTTAATGATCATAAAATTGGTGTTCCTCTACTCGGATCGGGCTGTCAATTTTTTTCTACACTTTTAGGTGTATTTTGTGCAAGCATATAAAGGTCGGATTTTTGGAAAAATTAAATTAACAGATTTGGGCTTCTATTATACATGAATCTCTTCGACATAAAAAGGCGAACAAAAAAAGTATGGCGCACTTTTTGATGCAAGCAATATATTCCAAGATAATGGCATATAAAGGTCGGATTTTTTGGAAAAATTAAATTAACAGATTTGGGCTTCTATTATACATGAATCTCTTCGTCATAAAAAGGCGAACAAAAAATGTATAGCGCACTTTTTGATGCAAGCAATATATTCAATGATAATGGCATATAAAGGTCGGATTTTTTGGAAAAATAAAATTAACAGATTTGGGCTTCTATTATACATGAATCTCTTCGTCATAAAAAGGCGAACAAGAAATGTATGACGCACTTTTCGATTAAACAAATATATTCAAAGATAATGGCATATAAAGGTCGGATTTTTTGGGAAAAATAAATTAACAGATTTGGGCTTCTATTATACATGAATCTCTTCGTCATAAAAAGGCGAACAAAAAATGTATGGCGCACTTTTTGATTAAACCAATATATTCAAAGATAATAGCATATAAAGGTCGGATTTTTCGGGAAAAATAAATTAACAGATTTGGGCTTCTATTATACATGAATCTCTTCGTCATAAAAAGGCGAACAAAAAATGTATGGCGCACTTTTTGATTAAACCAATATATTCAAAGATAATGGCATATAAAGGTCGGATTTTTGGGAAAAATAAATTAACAGATTTGGGCTTCTACTATACATGAATCTCTTCGTCATAAAAAGGCGAACAAAAAATGTATGGCGCACTTTTTGATTAAACCAATATATTCAAAGATAATGGCATATAAAGGTCGGATTTTTTGGTAAAAATAAATTAACAGATTTGGGCTTCTATTATACATGAATCTCTTCGTCATAAAAAGGCGAACAAAAAATGTATGGCGCACTTTTTGATTAAACCAATATATTCAAAGATAATGGCATATAAAGGTCGGATTTTTTGGTAAAAATAAATTAACAGATTTGGGCTTCTATTATACATGAATCTCTTCGTCATAAAAGGGCGAACAAAAAATGTATGGCGCACTTTTTGATTAAACCAATATATTCAAAGATAATGGCATATAAAGGTCGGATTTTTTGGGAAAAATAAATTAACAGATTTGGGCTTCTATTATACATGAATCTCTTCGTCATAAAAAGGCGAACAAAAAATGTATGGCGCACTTTTCGATTAAACCAATATATTAAAAGATAATGGCATATAAAGGTCGGATTTTTTGGGAAAAATAAATTAACATATTTGGTCTTCTATTATACATCAATCTCTTCGTCATAAAAAGGCGAACAAAAAATGTATGGCGCACTTTTTGATTAAACCAATATATTCAAA